CTATTGTATCCCTGAGGGAGCATCTGCTGAATTACCTACTTGAGATCCACTCTACAGCTGCTGCCATTCCTGAGGGAGAAAAAGGAGTGTGTGGTACACACAGAACAGAGAACTGAGGGGTGGATGTTGATGTGATAGGAAAGGCACCCCCCCACCTCCTTGTGTGAAAAGACATGGAGAGCTGCCCCGGGTTTAAGGAAACTTCATTTCTTGCAACTCACAGAATCAAGAAGAAAGATCCTTTGGTATCCATGGAGTGTTGTTCACACAATTCATTCAGTCAATGCGTTTCGAGTCCTTGGTAGGCACTAGGTCTCAGGGGCCATGCTGGCGCACAGGAAGAAAGGGTCTATTTCAGATTAGCACCAAGTGTTCCGCGTCCACCATCATGCAGGCAGAGTGCCATAGGACCAGTCACTGGAGCTAGGATAGAATAGAAGCCAAAGGGAACTTTCGAATTCAAGGTCAGAGATGGAAGCTCAGTGTACAATGGGAGTGAGAACAGGGTCCCAAAAGCCGCTTTGGAAGAGGTGGGCGTCATGAGGGAGTTGCCCCATTTCATGAATGTAAACTATTAATGGCAATGGTATGAGCTTCTCTGAGGAGCAAGACCACCCACTAAGCAAAATCCTGTTCTAGACTGCTGACAGAGTCAACATCTTCTTTGGGCTCTCACCTTATTCCATTTATCTTGCAGGGGTAACTGGCCTTTCAAAGTGTGAGGTAGCGTGGCAAGCAGCCACAGGTGTTATTACTGGGAACCATGGAGGTACGTAGAGACTTTTACAAAGGAAAACAGATGGCACCGGAGTCCATGAAAATGGAGAAAACCTTTCAGTGAAGGCAGAAGTCCTTACCAAAGTGAACTCGTTTCCCCAAGAAGACAGCCATGAACATCATCAAGCTAAACCACAGCCGACTGCAGCTCTGTAGAAAGTCAAAACTACTTTAGTGATGAAGTTGGATGCCCTTCTGTATATGTGTTGCTTTTTATTGGTTAATGAGTAAAGCTGTTTTGGCCAATGGCTTAGCAGAGTAAAGCCAGGTGGGAAATCCAAACAGAAATATATAGAGAATGTAGGCAGAGTTAAGGAGATGACATATAGCTGCCAAAGAAGAAAGACTTAAGAAAGTTCTTAAGCACGAACAGAACCTTACCTGGTACACCACAGTTTCATAGTGATACACAGATTAATAGAGATGGGTTAATTTCAAATGTAAGTATTACTTAATAAGAAGCCTGACCCAGGCGGTGGTGGCACACGCCTTTAATCCCAGCACTCGGGAGGCAGAGGCAGGCAGATCTCTGGGAGTTCAAGGCCAGCCTGCTCTACAAGAGCGAGTTCCGGGACAGGCACCAAAGCTACAGAGAAACCCTGTCTCGAAAACAAAAAGACAAAAAAAAAAAAAAAAAAAAAAAAAACCAAAAAAGAAGCCTGAGCTAATAGATTGTTGTTATTAATATAGTTTCTGGGTGATTATTCGAGTTTGGGTGGCCAGGGACAAACAAGCAGTCTCTGTCTACAAAATGGCACACCAACGTGGGGGACCTACATCTGCATAAAATCTGAGAGAGCTTGGGAAGGAATTCTAGACACAAAAGAATGGTGTCTAGACACAAAAGCATGGCTTTTTGGTAGCTGCATTTTTTTTTTCCCAGATCGGCTTTGTTTGCTGGCGACAAGTAGAGGTGCAGTTTCTATAAGAGATGGCTTTCTGGTTTGTGAAGGCACTAAAGCCCCTGGCTCTTTTGGGAGGTCTGGCTATGGAGCACTTAGGGTTTGTGAGCAGAGTGCTACAAGTTGCTTAATGGCAACATAGACCCACTGCATCTCTTGAGCTGGGGTGGTGAGCATGGCTCACAGAGGCGGTGAATATGCCTCCACCATGTTGGACAGGGTGGAGCAAACAGGCATGGCCCCAGAGTTAGTCCTAGCCTTGTTCACTTAGCATTTTTTTAAAGCGCTCCTGGTCAGAAAATAATTACAGATATGCAATAAAGACAGGTTCAGACGAATGGGTTATAGTGTTGGGTAAATGTACATTGGGAGCAAGAAAAAAAGTATAGACAGTTATAAAATGAAATAAATAGTTTTAAAATGAAACAAAATCTTTAAAGATACAATAAAAGTAATATAAAAGAGTACAGACAGTCATAAATTAAAGAAGTAAAGAAAAATAAGCCATGTAAAGATGGAATATACACAGAGTCTGGATTATGTATATTAATGTATTTTCTTTAAATTTTTTTTCCTGCAAAGAGACATTTGATTACTGGGGCTGCTAATTTAAACCAATATAAAGGTAACTTGTCTAAGGATGTGTTACTTTGGAAAAGAGGTTCTGTTTTGTTTCCAGAGAAGATGAGAACCTGTGGCTTTCTTCCAGGCTAATGTGGTTTAATGGAAGAAGACCCCCCTCCAAGGTCTCCGTGAACCCTAAGAATACTTTGCCCAACAAACAGCAGAAAGTAATTTGGAGAAAACTATGCCCAAATTCCCAAAATGATTTTTTATGTTTGTTTTCATTTAAAGGGGGTTGATTATAAGTGATTAATGGTCACAGTCAATTTTTTAAAAATTTAAGGAGGATAAGATATAGAGATGAATACTTTGCATTGGTATGGATCTTGGTCTATTGATACATATTTAAGGTTGATATTGTTATACTGTATATATATACACACATATATATATGCTCTTGTTTAAGGTATTGTGTTTATGTAGTTCATTTAAAAATGTAATAACATATGAAATACAGGTTAATAGCCATCTATAATGTAGTCATATTAGTTAGGTTTTCTAGATGTACAGAGATATATTGCAGATGGATAGGTATTCTTTCCATCTTTAAAAGACCTACAAAATATGGCATTGAAAAGGTTTTAAGAACTTGGACTTTTCTCGATGTGAGATATGTCTGCTTCTGGCAGCACTAATTACAGCAGAGAGGTTGATGGGCATCGAAGACACTCCACATGGAGCTTGTTTTCCGCCTGGCAAAACTGGCCTTTGGGCAAAGAACAGCCCCTGCCTCAACCACTGACAAAATGCGTGGTGTCCAGACTAGACAATCAGGATACAAGCAACAAGACTGCTAAACCTTGACAAGACAGGGTAAGGTAGTTTTGAAAACTTTCCTGCCTCTGAAAATCATCTGTCAGTTACTCTAGGCCTTAGTCAAAGTTGGTTGCTCCAATGTTGCAAATGAGACTTCGGGTGATTGCCCAGGTAGCCAGTTGTCTTGTCATTTGTTGCACATTTTGGAAGTTGTTTGATTCCACTTCCTCTTTTCTCAAGTAATATTATTTCCCTTCTCAGGTCTTTGATGGGGTTGAGCACTAGATCGTCATAGTTACTTTCCTCTCATGACTCAGCCAAGCCATTTTTAATGTAGACTTAGACTCTCTAGGATAGGATAACTATTGAAACATTTAGCATGCTGATTTCAACACAGTGTAGGTTTGCCTAAGAGATGATGGGCAGACATTTGGTGCCCCCCAGAAATCTAGAAATCTACACTAGAAAATGAATGAGAGAATCCTCAGGGAAAATAAAAAAAAAAGTTTGGTTAAAGTTTTGTGTTAATTTTGGACTCTAGGGTGTTGCTTCTCTGGCAAGAGGTCGGTGTGACCAAAGCACACTGAACTTTGCAATCTCCGAATGGAAACCACCAGGCCAAGGCAATGGCTCACTAGGTAAAGTGCTTGGGGCTCAAGAAGGAGGACCTGAGTTCTGTCCCCACCACCCACATACAAGCCAGCCTGCAATCCCAGTGGCAGGAGTAATCCAGAAACCCAGACTCTGAATTCCTGGAGCTCTCTGGTCCAGTGCAGTCTAATTGTCCCCAACCTGTCCTCAAAGTCATAATGGATGGAGAGCAATGGAAGCAGCGAGGTAAGGTATCTTTGCCCACCTTAGGCCTACACCTGTTCAAAGAGAGCACTCACAGGTGCGCGTCAATTATTTTCAAGAATCACCAAACCCCCGGATGCTCCCATGTAAGCAGGCCAGGAAAGGGTGCAGTGTGTGAGAATGGAGGTGCTTGACAGGGAAACCAAGACTGTGTGGGGGTGCTGCTCCAGAAACACCCTGCAATGGGGTGCAAACAAGGCTTGGACCAATGAGTCCCGGGGTTCGATGACTGCAAAACTGAGGAACAGGGAGGCTATACATGATGTGAATAGGGGTTGTGTGCAAGTGTTTAAGGCAAGGGCTGAGCCAAGATGGTTGACAAGCCGCAGAAGAGAACCTATTGAAGAAAGCAAGCTGCATGTGACTCAGCAAAGATTATTCTGGCAAGACTGCCATTGGTCATTTTGGCGACACCAGTCTTCTGCCTATAAATAAGGCAGTGCTGTTCATGATGGGAGAGTCCGATGATGCCAGCCTCGACCCTGCAGCGTGTGCCTTTTTCAGGGAGGCCCTGCCCCCCGCTGCTGCCATGTCTGGCACAGACACACATGTGGTGAGGACCCTGTGCAATGTCACAAATGGGGTGCACCTCCCCAGGGCAGTGAGTGCTAGAAGCTTCCCAGGCAAGGCGGTGCGTGGCGCCTGCGCAGTGGGCCTGCAGCATCACGCGTTGCAGGAGGGAGACGGGAGACCCCCGCCTCCGCCCCTCGCCCTCTGCCGCCGCCGCCGCGTGCGCGCACGCGGACCCGGCCACGCGCGTGCACGCGCCTCACCTCGCTCAACCTCTGCCAGGGCGGCCAGCGACGGAGCGAGCGCGCGAGCGCGGACGGGCGGGCGGGTAGGGACCGCGCACGGTCCAGTCGGGGGCTGTGCGGAGGCGCGGGCTCTGGGCACCCGGCTCCCGGCGGCGGAAGCGGCGCCTCCAATCAGGCAGCGGGCTCGCGACCCTCGGCGCACCCGGGCGGCACTGCCCGCCCCGCGGACTGACTGACGCGCCGGCTCGCCCCCGCCCCCGCGCCCGCCCCCGCCTCGTCTACCCAAGCTCGGCTCAGGCTCCACTGGGCTTCACTCTGCTTGGCTCCTCTCCGCTTGGCTCTGCTCCGCTCCGCTCTCCTCCAGCCCTTGCCAGGCCCTTTCCCTGCCCGCAGCAGCTCCTCGGCTGCGCAGCGGCGGCCCGCTCGGCAGCTGCAAGCGACCAGAGAGGCGGCGGCGGCGCCGAGGATGAAGTGCAAGCCGAACCAGACGCGGACCTACGACCCCGAGGGCTTCAAGAAGCGCGCCGCGTGCCTGTGCTTCCGCAGCGAGCGCGAGGACGAGGTGCTGCTGGTGAGCAGCAGCCGCTACCCCGACCGCTGGATCGTGCCCGGCGGGGGCTTGGAGCCCGAGGAGGAGCCGGACGGCGCGGCGGTGCGCGAGGTGTACGAGGAAGCGGGAGTCAAGGGGAAGTTGGGCCGGCTGCTGGGAGTCTTCGAGCAGAACCAGGACCGCAAGCACCGGACCTACGTGTTCGTGCTCACCGTCACCGAGCTGCTGGAGGATTGGGAAGACTCGGTCAACATCGGCAGGAAGCGAGAATGGTTCAAGATCGAAGATGCCATCAAGGTCCTCCAGTGCCACAAGCCCGTGCATGCCGAGTACCTGGAGAAACTGAAGCTGGGCGGCTCCCCGACTAATGGAAACTCGGCCGCCCCGTCCCAGCCAGAGAGCGAGCCCTAGTATGTACCGCTCCCGCCCGCCTGCCCGCCCATCCATCTGCCCGGACTCCTGCCTGTCGCCTCCCCGCACTTGCCTCCTGCCTGCCAGGAGAGCACCTCTCCTGCCCAGTGCGTCCGCATGGGCAGGAGGGAGTCTTCTTTTGTTTCCTTGGCAGGCAGACCTCTGAATCACGCTTGCAAACTGTCTTGATTGCCAGGCGCTGTTTGCAGACAATTTGCACGTTTTTTTTTCAGATGCTTTTCTAATCGCTTCTTGGTGACACTGTAAAAATCTTGCGCTCAGCCAGAGATGCATGGGATTTTGTGAAAGGTGCCTTACTGCTTGCCCTGCTCTTCATGGATGGTGTGTGTGAGCGCGTGTGATGTTTTTGTTTGGGTCTTTTTTTTGTCCAACACCCTTTACATGTGTTTTGCGTGAGTGTGCGTGCGCGCTTTTGATGCCAGCCTTGTGGTTTGTTTCTTAGTTGGAGGCCTTTAGAGTCCTACCAGCTGGCGGGGGAGGGGGAACGGGGGACATCTTTTTGTGTTTTTTCCCCTTGTTTTCTCATTCACAGACTTCACAGTGGATTTGACTGGAGGGTTTATCAACGTTCTAAATGTATTCCACAATCCTGTAATAAATATACATGAACGGTGACACTAATTTAACATTTTATTCTATAGGTTACTTTCCAAATTTGGTACACATAGAATTGAATATCATCCTTTCCCCTCTTGGTTCTGTTACATAAATCCATCTAAGTAAAATATGTGTAGTAAGCAAAATTGATAGGCAAAGAAATGAGTACAAACCTGTTTACCAAAATTATAGCTTTTATAAATCAAGCATGTAATTTGATATTCTAAATAATGCCGAATTATTGAATAGGATTTTCACTAATTACCGAGTAATCTAAATTACTAAATAGATATTCCCAGTAAGCTCCGTTAAGATATATACCAATCCTATAGAAACTGGATTATTGCTTTATTTCTGTATTGTATACATAAAAATACCTTTCATCTATAAATGCCGGGTATATGTTGGGGGGTCAACTACACAGTATCATATTTTGACATTTGAACTCTATTTGACTAATTTGAGGAGATTGCTGATTTAAGCAAACTTCAGTCTTGTTCTATTAATCATACTTTGTTTCATTTAACAGCATTTGGATTGAGCAGTAAAGTTTGCTGAGATTTTCTGAGATCTACAGAGATTGTTTATGCAATTTCAAAACTTCCAGTACTTTCCATTTCCATATTGCATGCAAAAAAACTGTTATCACTCTGTAAACTCAAATATATACAGCTAAATATCCTTTCTGGGGTTCATTCTAGAAAACAAATAAATGAAAGCCTCAAAATACTCTTGTCTTTTTAACAGACTCATTTCAGGAAATTCAGATAGAAAGAAAGGAAATCCTGTCTCTATCTCCTAGTCTCCAAAAGTTTACCAAACAGGTGTGGTGTGATTTTCTCCCTGGAGTGATTACTTAGTGCCTACGCATTGTACATGCCAAGTACACTGAAAATGTACGCTGAATTTTATAGTTCATCCCATTTTCCCCTAATCCAGTGTACTGATGCAAGTTAATTAGGACTTTTACAGAAGATACCATAAATTTATTTTCAACATTTAGTCTTAAAGGGCTGATTTTCCCTCCACTGGACAAGTGCCTACGTTTAACCTTCAAAAAGCTTGAAGTCATGCTGAAGTCAAAGTAATTTTGATATGCTTGATACAGGCATAAGATGTATTAGAAACTCATGTTTTGTTGTTCAGATTGTTTTTGCAAGAAGGGCTGAAAAATGGCTACCAATAATTCCTTGATTTGGTTTCCTTGGAAAGAACTGTTTTAAAGCTTTCTTTAGAAGCATCAGTAAAAGAGGAAGTGTGTAAGAAGAACAGGCAGCTTGTTAAATACCAGTCAGCACGGGTAGCAGTGCTTCTGGGACACGTGGTCCAACAGGCTCTGGATCTGGTATTGCTTCTTTTCCCACTTCCCTTTCTGGGTGCTCCTTTCTAAGAACGAACAATGCCTCCCTTAGTGGTTGTTAGCTGGGAAGAAAGGAGAAGATGCTTAGAACATATGTAATACCAACAGCTAGCTAAGTTGTTGTTGTTGTTGTTGTTCTCAGAGATCTTTTTGTGGAAGCACCTATTGTAGTTATGTTCCTAACTAACTGTTTTCCTTATAGAATATGAACTTTGAGGACTAGGACCCAACCTGAATCCTGCATAACTCCAGGGCCTCAAAACGGGCTAAAATTCGGAGACATTTCTCATTGACGCTCATACTAGAAATGTCTACTACCAGTGAATTCCTGGTTTTCCCTTTTAAGCTTTGTAACATACCTGGGAGAATTGATTTCTTTAGGCTCTCTCCTGTGCTGACAAGTGGAACTATACTGGATAGCTCACAGTGGAACTACATTGGATAATTCACTGCAGGCTTTTCCTGTGTGAAGGGTTGATGAAGCGTACTAAATCCTCAGTAAATATTTGTTGTCTAGACGCTACAGGAATGGACAAACCACTAAAACCTTATTAATCAGATTATCTTTTTTTAGGTGAATGGAATAAATGTTGTTCAGATTTACTTTGAAAGAATCAAGTATGTGAACCCAGTGATGAATGGAATTGTGAAGCACAGGTGAGCTCTTTGACATCCCCAAGGACACAGCTCACCCTATGCTTTCGGACACTTCTTTCCTGTTATTAACACTGGCTATTCTTCAGGTTGTTGCACTACCACTGGATCTGTACAGAATTCTATTTGGCACCTGTGGCCTTTTTGTGCTTTTGTCTGTATTTCCCCATCGGATATGACCTTGAATGCAATGAACTTGCTTTCGTAGTCTTTTTATATCTAGCATACAGTACTTGATTTATGGTAGGCGTCACTGAATATTGTTTAATATTTTGTAATGATAGTAAATGGTAAAACATCCCTCTTCTAATCTCTAGCATCTATGTGGCTTTTGTATATCAGGTGTCACATAACTATTTCAAGGCAGCTGTGAGATAGTAGCAAAGATTCTTACGCATATGTCTGTGTTATCCCAGACATTATGTACCTCCTACATTTGCCAAAATTTTGAACCTAAATTTATCTGTGCCTATAGACCTAATTTCTCCTCTATGGAAAACACAGGAGATAGAGAAACAGTTTGCTGTATATCAAACAGATGAGATTCATAGAATCCTGACTTCAAGAAAGCACAGGAAAAGATGATCCAGTTTTTCAATATGTAAGTCACAAGGATGAAAGGAAAGGGTAGAGGTTGAACCTGTGAATTGAAAAAGGCTTCAGAGAGTGATCAATACTTGCATGTATCTTATTTGGATCCTGATCTGATCAGACTATAAGATGAATGAATTTATCAGAGAACTAGAATATTTTGAGTATTGGCTCCACATTGATTATTATAATACTGTTATACTGAAAACAAGAATTCTTATCTGCATTCAAATATTTACAGTTGAAATGATATAATGTCTGGGATTTGCTTCAAAATACATCTAGATATTAAATTCACTGGACATATTCAAACAAGATTGGCCTTTAAGATTGTTGAAGCTGAATGATGATTACATGATGTTCATTATATTCGTTCATCTCTGCTTTTGTATGTTTGACATTTTCCATAATAAAAATGTTAATCAAAATCATTGGCAATGTTGGAATTCTTCTACTTCAGTCTAGTATGTAATGTAGAGAGAAAAAGGTGAGGAGGGAAAAGTTTATAGAATGATTTTTAAGTGTTGGCTCCAGGATACTGCTTCTGGTGTAAGATGTCAAATTCACAGAAATAAAAGGAGACATGCCCTGGAATGGCCAGTTACACCTGTGGTACAGACCAGGACTTGAAAGGTTTTTTTGTTTTGTTTTGTTTTTTTGCTTTGGCCTCCTGAAATAGTAACAGTTAAATTATTATTTACAACTATTGGATCATATTTTTCTTTATTCAAAAGAACATTTCAATAAATCATGGTTTAATTTATAACTATTGGGAAACGGTGGTTGGTTCTGATGTGCTGAGGAGAGGCTTTGACACCATTTGCATTCTAATTCATACCAATGTGAAATCAAGGGACCAGATCTCTAGAACATTATTATCTAAAAGTCCACATAATTCCATTTTAATAGTTTCTTGGGGGAACAAAATCAATTAGTTGTAGACACGAGTTCTGCACGTCACGATAACACTCTACTGAAAGGCAGGTAAAAGAAGAAAACAGTGAGGACTCCTGACTGCAGGGGCACCCAGGCTGCGGAAATGAAGGCATAGTCAGAATAACTGAAGGTGGGCATTTATGCACAGGGTCGGTTCAGTCCTGACACTTGTGGTTAAGGAGCAGGAAGGCGGTTCAAGCTGCAATGCAGGCTCCTATGAAGGATGATTTCCGCCTGATGAAGAAATGGGAAGCTGCACCCTTTGTTGCTCAGAGTTAAGTGTTCCTAATCCCAAGGGCAAACACTTGCCATGACTCAACTGTTTCCTGGAAAAGGGGAGAGGAAATTCTTCCCCTAGAGTCCAGTCTCCTGCAAGCTGCTTAATGCTTTGCTTTACCAGGGCTCCCTGAGAAATGCCCCTCTTCCTCTGGAAGCTGGTTGCTAATTTGACTCAGCTGATTTGAGGAGATTGCAGATTTGGAGGCGGGCGGATTCTTGGGGAACTTGAGGTGCTGCTAGTGGTAAGATAGTGCTTTGGAGCCTGATAGGCTGTGGCTCAAAGATGATTAAACCAGACACTATCACGGCCTGGGCCAAGTCACTTTACCTGTCTAACCTTCCGTTTTCCGATATGGAAAAAACAGAAGGTATTTATAGTCCTTCCCTTTGCAAACCACTGCTTCTGAGAGGCTCTTTATCTCTGAGCGCAGTACACCAGCATGCTCCCAGTACCCCACTGCTCTGTTGGGTCAGTTGTATCCCACTCATATTAACCTTATACAGTTGACCTGTAAGGTCTGCTGGCTCTTGAGACTCTTAACTGGGTTCTTCCTTATTCCCAGAGTCTGGACCATGGTACTCATGGTACCTAAAAAATGCTTATGCTATTAGTGATTGTTTCAGCTAATACCTTCCCCCAAAAGCCCCAAACAAACAACACAAAGCAACAGTGTAACTGTACTTGCTTTCTAGAAAATAAAAAAATCTGACACACCATAAGGACACCATGATCTTGGATCACAGTTTTCTTTATTCAGGAGGATATTTTAATAAATCATTGTTTTACTTTCTCAGAGTTTCCATTTCTAATATAGCTTCCTAACTTCTTAGCTTCATAACATATAATATGGGATTTTTTTTCCTTAGGTGCAAGATTGGACCTACAGAGCTACATAAGATAACTCAGTGAAGGCTTCCGAGATCCAAATGGTTGAAGGACATGGTATTTACTAAATGCTCAGTATTTAGTCAGTGAGCAACTGCTGAATAGACACAAGTATGCTAGTTCTATTAGTTTAGTTTCTACTCAGTGGCTGAGCAGTAAGAGTATGTAATACCAAGCTCCCACATACCGTGCCAACGCCTGACTGATTGGCTGCAGGAGCTACTTGTAGATGTTATCAGTTTAGGACTTAACACTACAAAAACTGAGTCACAGCGTTCACGGCTTGCTTGGTTCTTGTCTTTATGTCCTCAAATACAAAGAACAATGGCATGGTGGTTGTGATAGAAACTGTGGGGCACGCTGTTGCAGAGGAGCCACAGTGGAGTGCTTGTGCATTCTGTAGCTCTGAGGTCACATCAGAACCTTAGCTGAGAAACTGGTTCATGACAGTCTTCCAGGGGAGTCGCAGCTGTCCGTCTTCTATCCTGGGACGGTTCCCAGAAGCTTAAGATGCAGATTAGTTGCAGTGACGAAGATAGGTCATCTGTTGGGGCCACTTTGAAGATACACAATACATTCCAATACAAAATTTGCTTTCAATAAAAAGACTAATGAGCCAGGCAGTGGTGGTACAAGCCTTTAATCCCAGCACCCGGGCGGATCTCTGTGAGTTCGAGACCAGCCTGATTGACAAGAGCTAGTTCCAAGACAGGCTCCAAAGCTACAGAGAAACCCTGTCTCAAAAAAAAAAAAAAAAAGCAAAAAAGGCTGATGATAACACGTCAGATCAACCAGACATTTAAAGGTTCATTGCTTAACACGAAGAGGCCTTTTTGGGTGGTGGAGGATGGAGTGGGGGGGTTGGGTGGGGGTGGGATTCAGAAACCTTTAAAGCTGGCCTGAAATTTCTAGAGAAGGGAAGGGGGAGGACACTTAGAGTTTGTATTGGACTTGTGGTGTAGGACTAGAGTAAGGGTTTCAGTGCCCAGCTGGCAGTTTGCGTTTTGTGTGGAACTCTGTTGGTCGTTAAAGGAAAAGAGAGCTTTATTTTTGTATTCTTAACTTGTAAGCATGAAACAGAAGAGACATGTGGCTTACCTGCTGCCAGCGATCAAGCATGTAGAAGATTGTATTATAATTTATTCTTGATCTTGGTAAGGAAAATATTTGAACAGTCCCATGCTTCCTTGATTAAACTTGGGAGAAGAGATCTATTAAGACAGTGAAGATTCCATCAGGTGACTTGTATGGCTGAGTGTTGCAGCTCAGGGGTAGAGTGCATTCAATTATCACCATTACAAAAAAATAAGGTCTTGTTCTAGAGCTCAGTATTGTATATTCAGACAAAGGAAAAGGAATTCCTTGACTTCAGCAATACCTGGAACTCTGAAAGCAAAAAGGAGAGTCTTGGTTCAGCCTTGATTTATAATTAAGACACCCACTGCATTAGCTACAATGTAAGATTTAACTGTTCTGATCTTTAGGTTTAGTTTTTTTTTTCCTTTTTCAGGGACATCCTGCTTAAGTGATGACAATTCTTAGGGGAGTGTTGTGTTTATAATAGGCCCCAACTCCTGTTTTTCTTGAACCTAAAGGGGTCTCGAGGAAGACAATGAATTTGGGAAAGAGGTGACTTCATCCAGCACAGAATCTGACAAAGCACTGAAGACAGAGGTGTCCATTCTCACCTGCAAGTCTCATGCCATAGGCCCCAGCATCTTGGCTCCGTCCTGTAGCAAAAGGTTTAATAGCTGTGAGGACTTGAGGGTACTGATTCTAAAGCCTAGCCAAAGCTGTAAATAGAAGGCTATGTGCTAAGGATTTGTGAAGACCTCTTTGTAGGAAATACCAATATGAAGCCAGCAATAGCCCCTCTAAAGACATAGCATGAGTTTTGTGTCTGTTTGTTTTTGTCTTAGGTAGAAGATAGTAGACAACAAATGGCCATCAGGGACGAAAGCAGGCATTAGAGTAAGTTGCTAAAGCTTCTCCCCTGATGGAGTCTCTAGCAAGCATGGTATTAATAAGAGTGCCTGTAGTATTTATTGCATTTGAAAATTGCTAGAGCCTTAGTTGAGATGATGAACTTTGCAAGTAATGATGTAAGTGTGACAGAATTTATAAGTGCCTACAAAACTCAAAAATGCTGAAAAGATGCTCATTTTAATGTGGGTGCTAAGAGCATCAGTAGGTACTTTTGACCGTGGCAGGGAGGAAG